CAGTACAGGTTAAAACTCGGGGTGAGAGCGACTTATAATGTAGGAAGCCTAGCATTTTATGCTTCCGCTCCCTAGTGTCCTCCAGTTGATGAGATGGTTTCCTATCTAGGAACGTTGGATACGGTTCCTCCCCGCGCTTCCGGCCCTGGAATATCTACCTGCCCACTGAATACGCAGTCTACCGAGAGGTCCCTCAAACATTCGTAATTGTCACAGGCCAAAACTCCCTAACAGGAGAACCAAAAACCCAAAAGCAAAAGTCTGACAAGGCCGACGACGTCCTGCGCAAACGAGCCCTCCGGGTGTTGAAAGTGGTCCGGGTGCTGAAAATGGTCCAGGTGCAGTTTAGCAAATCCCGTCCTCCAGCCAGCAGCGCATGCGCAGCCTCGGTTCCTGTGCGCTTTGCGCTCCTGGGTAGGTCAGCACAGTGCGCAGAGGCCATCGGGAAGATGGCGGGGCTTGGCGTGGTGTGTGTGGCCGCCTGGGTTCCTTGTCGGAGATGGGGCTGGACGGCCTGCAGCTTTGACCGTGGCCTCAGAGCGTTACTTGCACGAAAGCCCGAGAGGACGCCACGGTGGCTCCCAGGTTAGTGTCCGAAAGGCGGGAGTAGGACGCGCGCGCGTGTTTTCTGACATCCCTGGTTTTGTCCGTTCAGTGAGTTTTTGGCGCCCCATTCAAAAATGTTCTTCCTCCATTCTCAGTACTCCAGTTCTAGGCGTTTTCGACAATTTTGGTAAAGGCCATGAAGAGCTGTGCGGCGGCCCGGGAGTATCCTGGGCAGCCCTGACCCTCGCAGGCATTTACGCCCTTTAAGTATCCTGCTCTCCGCCTGCCTTCCTTGCATTAAGAGCCAAATAGGAAAACTTAACAAGTGCATTTAATGCTTTCATTATTAGTTGCTTTTACTTTTCTCTGCGGGTTCTGAGGGGTTTACAGATAGTGAGTCTGTGTGAAGATGCTTAGACCTTTTGATTTGAGGGAATTTACAATGTGAACATTCTCTTTGTGAAGGTGTAGACACTGCCATCCAGCCTAATTTCTCGTTTTGCCTTCTCGATGCTCCCCCTTAGTGAAAACCATAATCATTCCTTCAAACTAGAATTTGAACCAAAAATCAGAGCACCTGAATATTTTCTTTATCTTGTGTTGGGTTCTTCCCAGTCCCATCCCATCCCTACACCCAACCTCTCAGGTATATATGCATATAGTCTGTCTTTCTGAATTACACCTTTTTATTTTTTGTTTCTGTTGTGTTCACACAGCTGCCAGATGTATGATTGCTTGGAATGGGAGTTGTCATTGCAGATACTCTTTGAGTTAAAATTTTTAAACGTATATAACCAGTTTAACTTACATTCAGTCGTGCACAACCAAAAGATGTCATGTTTCTCTAGCAAAGTATAATATGTAATTTTATTACNACCCCACAGACCCATCCCTTTAACTGTGTATACTCAGAACTCCTTTCATATTAACAGGAAGTCATTTGTAAAAGAGAAAGAAGGGGTTTTAATTCAAAGCTTGATCATAAATAGCAAAAGAATTAAAGCACCTATGAGAAAGAAAGCACTACTTGGTAAATAGCATCACTTACAGGAACATTTCTTATAAACTATTTTTATTATTTGGTGAAATAAAATAAACAGTTTACAAAATGTAACTACTTGGAAATTTTATTTTAGCATCCAAATCATTGACCTTATAGGTAATCAGCTTTTGTTTTTTAAAGGAGCATTTTGTTGAAGGTTATTTTATAAATATAAGCAAATAAGGGCTTGGAGGGGAATAGATTTTAGGAGGGATTTTGCCCTAATTTTTAAGTACTGCACCAAAACCAAAGACTTGACATGACTTCTGTTTAATAGTAGTAGTTTCAAGTGATGAACTGCACTTAGTATTACTCTATGTTTTAAAATGGTATTTTGATGCCATCAGGTGCCCAGGAAATTGACTTTGAAGTCACCAGCGCTAGTTACTGTAGATATATAGCCAACCACTTTTTGTAAAAGAAGAGCAAAAAGCCATGTGCTTTAGAAAGAAGCAGTCTTAAACAGACATTCTGCCACATTGAGCAATTTAAAATAAAGAGACTATTTAGTGTTAGCAGCATCTTTTGTTGAAGATTTCTCCATTCCCAGTGCTGAGAATAAAAGTAACCAGTAGCCAGTGTGCTTTAGATTGTTTGGTTTTTTTTGTGTGTGGAACACACCTGTTAATTGTAGCCTCACATATCATAACTATGAAATCAAAGCTGTTTTCACCAAAGAACAGACTAATTAAAATACTTATTTACAGAAGTGGTGTAGTTTTAGAAAAAAGCAAATGAAGTTCAATGATGTTCTCTGTAATATTTTATTATGTATTTCTTCACAGTTAGCCTTTGTTAGAGTTAAATTAATTTTTGTTGAATGAAATGACTTCAGGCAAGTCTCTTTCATAACAATTTTTCAAATGCCATTTATCCTAGTTTGTTATGTTGTGTGTGTTCGTAAGTATGAATGTACGCTTTCCTAAAACTTGGCAAATGAATAGAAGTGGAAAATAATGACATTACTAATGAGGTGAAATGATTAGAAGTGTCTATAAATGTCTGTCAGGCCTGACTGGGTACAATTTTTTTTTTTTACATTTGCAGTGTGGTTTGTGTACATGTATACATGTTGCCAATAGTAAGATTTTGCAACTGGATGACACATGATTTTACTTGAACGGTAAAGGACAAAATCACGATTGCAGAAGACATTTTTATAATCTATTTTTTTCAGACATCACCCCTAAACCCTATAATGATCTAAAAGAGTGAAATGAAATTGCTAACATTTTCTTGGTCAATGTAAAGATACAACTTTTCTGTACTGTACTTTAACTTCTTCATAGGATTGTAAAGATATTGTAATCAACTTTATATCTTGCATGATGTAGTAGACCTTTTAAATGTGTGTGTTAAATATGTTGAGTTTGAATTAAAATGTTGACCATATTTCACATTTGAAAATAAACTCACCTCTCATTAGAAAGTTACCTATTAGTAACATGATGGGGGTGGGGTGGGGTAGATTAATCAGCCAAAGTCGATTATAGAATTTACATAAAGGATGTTGTGTGCTAAGATTATGATTTCTAGTTTATAAACTGAAGTAATTTGAAGTGTCTCTGGTCACATCCTTGTTGCTAACAAAATGAGATAACCCCTGAAAAATCGGACATCTTATTGTCTTTTTGCACAGATACAATTAGTACTGAGGATTGCAAGGACTGTGTTTATTTATCCTTCTAGCTGACAAGGAACAGACCATTCAGGTGTGAAGTAAAGCTCTAGGGTTTTGATTTGTGGGGACTTCATTTGTCTCCCTGAACTAAGGCAGCAGATTTCAGAGAAGAAACTGTCCTCAACAATATGAGTGTATCCTTTTGTCCCATTAATGAAGACAACATTTATGGTAGGTCAAGAAATGAATTTGTCTACTTCAAGCCCACCACTGTCAGTAAAAGTACCTTCACTTGACACTAGCCACAATTTTTTTCTGATTTGTTAGACCAATAAGGGTGGAAAGGGGAAATGACCAATGGGTTTCCCTCCTTTTCTTGTGCTTTGTTTTTCTCGT